ACTACTACTACTGCTGCTACTACTGCTGCTACTGCTACTACCACCACCACTACAACTACAATTGCAACTACACTACATTTCACTTGACTACACTAATTACATTGCAGCACGCTACAACTACAAAATGCAAATGCAACTACAACTACACCACATTACACAACACTACACTAGACTAAGTACATCACATTACACTACAACTACAACTTCAACTGCAACTACCACTACATTGCACTACACTACACTACACTAATTACACTACATTACAGCTACAACTCCATTACGCTACGCTACAGCTACAGCTAAAACTGCACTACACCACACTACATCGAGCGGTGAGGTGACCACTGCAACCATTGCAACACCCCAAAGAACACAGCTCCAACCACCTTTCGGTCCATCAGTGGATTCGCTCTGCCATCCGTGATTCACAACAACCAACCTCTCCTATAGGTTTCCTATTTTTGAAACTTTCGCCACCGCCTTGTGCGGTACTACTGTTAACTATTTGTCAACCATTTAATACCTATTTAGCAGCTATTTAATAACTATTTAGCAACTATTTGGCAGCTATTTAGCAGTTATTTAGTAACTATTCAGCAGCCCTTTCAAAGAAGTATTGTTTCCGAAAACACCTCAAGAAGTAATGTTTTTTTTGATATCTTCATTATCGAATATTCTAAGCGCAATGCAGATAGAACTATTGTGTGTGGAATTTTTTCACCCGGACCTCGATCCGAGCCCGCGGGGTCCTCCAGGATGAATAGCAACATATTCTAAGTGCTAGCCTGCGTAGATATATTGAGAAGTTTTGTGGGTCCATGACCCCTGCCCAATGATTGAGCCAAAGGGGAAACCTTGGATAGTTTAATGCAACCTGATATTTTGTTTGCCATTTCCGTGGGGATATTCACCGTGCCAGCTTTTTGTCTAGCCATCTAAGATTGGCCAGGATACATGAGATACGGGAAAATCACAATGTGTAGATCCGAAATCCAGGGAAACCCATGGATTTCCAGAGTTTGTTGTATGCTAGCAGTGGAACTGTTTGCGCAGGGGGGCTTAAGACACGTATTTCATTCCTTTTCTGGATCTTGCCCGATTTAATCTTGGACATGTCTATTGTTGGGTTTAGATCTGGATTAAGTCTGTTTCAAGCACGCAAAAACTACACGTACAAATGTTAAACCAGTCACTGGTTTAGGATTATTTTCTATAAAGTGCTTGGTTGCTCACTGTAGTTCAGTGTGATAGTCGCTATATCCAAACCTACCCAGCTTCAACAAACATACAGCATACTTTTTGGGGGTCGTTTTTTCATCGGCAATGTATTGGGGCAACCCATCGATCAAGTCGATCCCAGAATCATCCCCGATAGCCGGATATGGTGCCAGTAGCTATGTATACCGCGATGTGCTGAAAATTGGGCACCCCTAAGTTTGATAGATCATTACACTCCCCAAATCTAACATGGAACTGCATGCTATTCCTGAGGTCCCCTAACATGAACCTATGGTACGGTCTCCAGTGGATTTTGTTCCCCGGGAAATCATGCAACTAACTTTTTTGATAAAAACACTCCAAAACTGACATGGAACCCAATGCAGGCCCAAACCGAACCCAAACTGTACCCCGAAACAGCCAACATGGAATTTGAACAAGTCATCACAAAGCGATCTGCAACCTTTGAGGGGTGAATTGAAGTTTAACCTGGAACCCAAGTGGTTTTTCAGGCGTGGTTCTTGCAAATTCCATGTTAGTGACTTTCGGGCGGCCCTATTTTTCATTTCATATTGCGCTCACAATTAAAAAACTATTCGGGTTCCAGGTCTGTGGTGGGGAAAGAACTGAAACCAAAGCACCTCCAAGAAAAGGTCGTGACTTATTTTTCGATATGTGTTGGGTTCCGTGTTCGTCGCGCAACCTTCCAAAGTGAGCCGCAACAGGCAGAAAACTTGACAGTGAAGAGAGAAAAAGCAAGCGACATGAAAAGACAACAAAAAAGACAACAAAAATCAGCAAACTAAGAAAGAGTCTGGAAAGAGCAACAAGGAACAAAAGACAAACGTGACAATTTGATGGTGAACTTGCTGGAGCTGCCATGGTGCCCCAAAAGTTAATTTCGTTGGGTTCCATGTTGGTTTCCGTTGTGAGTTCGACGACCACACCCGGGGGACACAGCAGGTTGGTGGAGGAGAGCCTGACCAGGGAGAGCATACGGGGAGACAAAATGTGGCCACAGCCCAAAAACGTCCAAGTGGCACATTTTCTCCTTTACCAAATGTAAAGGAAAACTAGGATCCCTAAATCCATTCAGATCCTTTTTTTTTTGACTTGTTGGTTTTTCTGCTGTTCCCTTTCCCCCGACGAAATGTCCATTCAGGTTCCAAGTTAATTTTCGGGTTCCTGGAGTCCATGGTATGCAAAAAAACAGCAGTCCAGATTCAACCCAAGCAATGATAAAATGAAGAAACAGCTGGAGAATGCTGGGGAAATGCAACTAGACCTAAGAAAAACTATGGCTGAGTGGCCCAACATGCTCCAAAAATATGCTTCCCCATCCCACCCCATGCAGGGAAGAGGAATTCCGTTTTAAAGAGTCTTATTTATTTTTGTTGGTGCCAGGCCTTCTGCCAATAACATGAAGACATAGGTGGGGAAGAATGATAAGGTGCTTTCATGATAAGGTTCAAACTAATATTTTTCTATATCGGCTGGGTTCCATGCTGGTTTCGGCTGCAAGCCAAAGCGACACACACACACACCCACACCCACACCCACACCCACACCCCCACGCACGCACGCACGCACGCACGCACGCACGCACGCACGCACGCACGCACGCACGCACGCACGCACGCACACACGCACACACACAGCCTTGCTGCAAGCGACGGCTCGCGGAGAACGGGCACCCAACCGGGGTTGTGTTCGGGGGGTCCACAACGGGGTTTGGTTGTGTTGGGTTCCTGTTGGTTTCCAGCTTCCAGGGTATGGGAGAGGTCATCATGGAAAAGGTACCATGGGGGTCCGTTGGTTTCCAGCTTCCAGGGTATGGGAGAGGACCATGGGAAAGGTACCATCGCGGTCCATGTTGGGTTCCATGTTGGTTTCCAGCTTCCAGGGTATGGGAGAGGCCACCATAGGAAAGGTACCATGGGGGTCCATGTTGGTTAGCATGGGAAAGGTACCATGGGGTCCATGTTGGGTTTCATGCTGGGTTCCATGTTGGTTTCCAGCTTTCAGGGTGTGGGAGAGGTCAGGTTGGTTTCCAGCTTGCAGGGTATGGGAGAGGTCACTATATGGGGGTTCCATGCTGGGTTCCATGTTGGTTTCCAGCATTCAGGGTATGGGAGAGGTCACCATGGGAAAGGTACCATGGGTCCATGTTGGGTTCCATGCTGGGTTCCAATGTTGGTTTCCAGCTTTCAGGGTATGGGAGAGGTCACTATGGGAAAGGTACCGTGGGCGTCCATGTTGGGTTCCATGCAAGGTCCGTGTTATATAGTGGGCAGTTGTTTTTCGAAAAAAGTGAGCTAAACGTGTAGTTCTAAACGTATAGTTTTGGCAAATTTGTATATATATATATTTATATCACTTTTCCAGATATCATATATCAATTTACATATGTCAATTTACATTGAAACACATTTTGAAATTTCAAAATGCACATATCAAAAAGTAAAGAGGACCCCCGTGGCCTGTCACGGCCCCCTAGTCCAGGCTCAGGACCGGGGAGACTGTGAGTAGCAAAACGGGATAGCACAACGGGAAAACCACTACGAGAAGATGAGAAATGTCACGTTTATGGTGGGTAATTGGAAAAACTGTATAACATATGATAAATTGAAAATCAATATCTACTTTGAATATTTTTTTTCGTTTACCCTTTATGCTTTGAATGTGTTTTCAATGTGTTTTTAAGATGTGTTGAGGATATCTTTTGTGTGAAATTTTTGACATGTACTGTATGTGTTAAAAATTGTCTTCAGAATTTGTGTTTTGGAATTCATCTTGGACAAATTGATTCATTGAGTCAAAAGAGCTATTATGTAGCATCTTGCATCCATCAATCACCATAAAGGGCATAATGGTTCCGAATTCCCCGTGTCAGCCGCCATGGCTAACATGGAACTTTTGGATGAGCACTCAATGGCAGCTTGTGGGGTTCTATGTTAGTATGACAAGCAGCCAAAAAGTGTCCGAATATGTCCAATTCACCAGCGCCAAAATGCACCTACCTGGCACTTATCCCGCTCATGAATTTTAACATGGGTGCGCTAACATGGAACCCATTTTTTTGTAGAATGTTAGTTTTCGAGAGAGTGCCTTCTGGTAATTTGCTACATAACTATTGAACATGGCTCATAGAAATATATGTTTTACCTGTAAAAAACGGTGATTTTTCATAGTTATGAAGTTATGATGTTAGTTTACCAGAGGGTGTTTCCAATCACTATTTTTTTACCATAAGTTGGGGGATGTTGGGGTAAATCCACCGTCCGGACCGTCCTGACACAACCCCAAAAAAATGTTTTCCAATGTCAGGACACTCTTTCTGTGGGAATGGGTCCAAACTGAAAATGTGTTATACATGGTGAAACATCACAATGGTTGGTAAATGGATAGATTCTCCACCAATTCATGGGAAAACAGCCGTTTCAAAACCATTCAACCCCTCCCAGTGGTGCATAAAACTGTGGCAAGTGAAAACCTTCCGTTTACATCCGTTTACCATCCGGCAATCAACCGTGGCTAGCTGGAAAGTTAGTTCGATGATTTTCCCAGCTATATAGACCGATAATTTTTCGCTATCCAACCACGTGTGATTTTCCACAAGGGCTACATCAGACGTCGATCATCCCAGTGGCCTCTATGGTGGTTTGTCCCAGATGTTCCTATGGATTTCCCCCATCAGTTTGGCGATTTTCACCTAGAAAAACAAGAAGCGGGGTTCATCCCAGTGGTACCTGGTACAGCCTGGTACAGTGGCAGCGGCCGAGGCCACATTTTGTGGTCACTTCTGGTCTTGACAAAAGGCAGCGCGAATTAATCTCTGAGATGCCGCGTCGCTTGTGCTGAGTCGTGGGTAGTGATGGGTAGTGTGTGATGGTCAAAGAACTGTGGAAATGTTGGATGGTATGGAATGGTTTCCTGAAATGGGGGTACCCCTAAATCATCCCATTTTAGATTGGGATTGTCCATTATAAACCAACCATTTTGGGGGATCCCCCATTGATGGAAACCCCCGAGTCAGGCACAGGGCCAAATTTGGAATCAGAGTCAGGACCCAGGAATTCTTGGAATGATCATGTGCGATGGCTGAAATATGTCCCATGAAGATCTGGTGGTACTGCAGATGTTTTTTGATCCTTTCAACTGGGGTGCCTGACCCGTGAGGCCCTGGTGGTTGATGGCACATATGGTTTTAACACCACTAAACACTGAATATGTTCGGTGATTCACTGATTCCACTGAAAGAAGAATGGTGCTTTAGAGGCTTAGCTAAGCCCCAAATCATTCCCGGGAATTGAACCCTGAAACACGAGGACATACCTGGACAGCCTGTCGCTGCTGAAAGCTGTTCGCTTTCATGGGGATCATCAGACTGAATTACCTGCTTCCGAGGAACCACACATGCATTTTCCAAAGTCAACATACCCTCCAGTAGTCTGAAATGGTCATGGAACATCTACTAAATTACCGGGTAGACAATCTAGAAATTTGGCACTTTTTTATAGCTATATATATGTTGTTGGACAAAGCACAACTTGAGCGCAGGGGCCAACAAAAATACGTTATCCCCATGAACGGGTTCAATGAATCTACTCAGCCTTTCCCAAAAACCCTACGGAGTGCAACGATAGCTATATTCCATGTTAGCTAACTAAGGGGCACCCTGCAAGTGTATCGCAGTATGCTTTCCAGCTTTGGAGGCATCTTATTTTGCATCCCCCTCGTTCAGAAATACCGGCATAGGTGTCCTCAAGCATGGACAATCCACTATAAATGGAGGTTTACAGATGGACACATCATCTGGTTGGTGGTTTGGAACATGAAATTTATTTTCCCATATACTGGGTATGTCATCATCCCAACTGACTTTCACTCCATCATTTTTCAGAGGGGTAGGGCGAAAAAACAACCAACCAGTCATCTATGAGGGACTTCCAATTGCCATGTTTGCCGCGGGGTAATCCATCACGGGGCGACCATTTCTGAATGACTTTTGGGCCAGGGGGCCACCTGTTTTAAACCTGCGCAGCATTTTCGATCAAAGATAGTTTCTGGTCATTTAACATAGCCATGGAATAGCCATGGAACATGGCCAAAAATGAGTTCTATGATTTAACTACTAAAGATAGTAAATTTTGATAGCCACCTGAAAAAAACAAACGATATGGACTATTTTTTGGTCTGTCATGAGCCATCTTTCACAAGAAATGCTCCCCTCAAATCGGAGGTGGATTTTGTTTTTCCCCAGCTGATAGTCGGAATGGCAGGCGTTTTTGATCACTGCAATGATGCATGGTTTGGGATGCAGGGAAATCACTCCCATAGCGGACCGCAAGTATCCGCTATTTTAAGGCTAGTGAATGGTTATAATACATTTTAGATAGGCTATATTAAAATATTGGAACTATTATATATAGATTAATATACTGTACTATAAATATAGTGTATTCATAGATTACAGATATAATATATTGTAATTCAGCCAGAATATGTGGTTTAGGGTGTTTGATATAGTTGGGATTGAAACAGTAAACGTGGTCGTGTAAAACCATGTAAACCATTATTGCGGCTCATGTTATAACCAACCATATTATTTTGCCTGATATCAATGGAGTGGTACTCTCAATATGGGGGCCTAACACCAGCACCAGCCATACCGGGGTTACAGTGGGGAAATAATGGTGTATATAGTCAATAATATGATATGTTTCATTGAACATAAGGTTTCGCCGTGAATTTAGCCATTTTTGCAAGAAAGATGCGGTACCAAACCGATGAATTTAGGGGAGCATTTTTTTTTCAGACAAACTCTCACAGGTTCCTGCAGGAAAACATGAGGAGTTCTCAGTCTACCGATAGGGCCGATAGGGATGGCCGGTTCATGGCTTATGCTAATCCCCGCTAGACATTATAGACATCTAGAGTTTTGGGGCACCCCTCACATTGAAAAATGTACCGAAGCACCAATTTGAGCATGGGAGCGCATGATTTTCGCAGGGCTCTCTAAGCTGGGAGCAGGGTCAACAGGAACCTCGCTGAGGCTGGCAATCTGATATCATCTGATATCTATTAATCCACCTTTGGATCATGTTTGGGTGCCAGCCCGGAGATACATTGAACAACTGCAGTTGAACATAATCTTTTCTCACCCAGAAAGTCAGGAAAGTAAGCCCATTCCCTGTTCATACTAAGCACCCAGATTTGATTTTCCCAAATATGTGGTTTCATCCCCTACATCCACCATGGTTTCTGGAGGGTGTTGAATGTCAGGGAGATGGAATTATACCACAAAAATCCACACAGCATGGATGAAATTTGACAACGTTTGGTGCTGCACTAAGACCAAGAAGTTGTTGCTCTGGTCTATCCTCATTTGCGTGCCTTGCCCTGGCAGCTTGCAATTTGATGATAGTGTAGACATGCGCGAATTTGTTTGAGACTATTGCTTTCTGGTAATCTGCCCAGGTGTGCTGGAGTTTCAACCATATGTGTATATATATTTGTAAATATGTTACTATGTTCAATATGTAGAGTGTTATATATATATATATAAATAATTATATATATATACACATCACGCATGATAGCACTCATCCAAATCCGCCAGGTAAGTCATTACTCAAGGCTTTTCCAGGTACCTACAAGGTGGTGCAAGCAGCCAAGCGGACAGCCAAGCGGGTTAGGTTTATGGTAGATGTATCATACTAGATGGGGATATAAATGTAACATTTGGGCATTTGGGCATTTGGGCCCATTTTTTTTCAAGACCTGGGAGCGAAGAGAACGTACCAATTGGCTGGCCAGTGATTGTCTTTAACTCGCCTATTCTTAGTGTGCCCATTGACTTCGCCCGAGAGCGGATGCCCAGGATAGACTGTGGAGATATGAGATATTGCTGCCATGTCTTTTGGGGTACCCAATGTTCAGACAAACCTTTTTAATTGCCATGTAGCGATGTTATTCTACAACTGTATCAAGGGTAATGGAACACAGTCTATAGACGGAAGCGAGCATGTTAGATACGGCGACACGAGTTGC